TCTGCACCAACCATGCCCACCTTCATGGAGCTCAGCACCAAAGCCAAGATGCCCATTGTGGGCCTGGGCACTTGAAAGTCTCCCCCAGGCTAAATCAAAGAAGCTGTGAAGGCAGCCATCAATGCAGGATATCACCACATCGACTGGGCCTACACCTATCAGAATGAGAACGAGGTGGGAGAAGCCTTCCAAGAGAAGATTCAAGAGAAGCTCATGAGGCAGGAGGACCTCTTGATTAGCAAGTTGTGGTCCATATTCTTTGAGAGAAGCCTGGTGAAGGAGGCCTGCCTTAAGACCCTGAAGGACCTAAAACTGGACTACCTGAACATGAACCTCATTCACTTTCCACAGGGACTTCAGGCAGGGAAGGAACTCATCCCCAGAGATGATAAAGGCAGTATCCTCTCCAGTACAATAACATTCCTGGATGCATGGGAGGTCATGGAGGAACTGGTTGATTAGGGATTAGTAAAAGCTCTTGGTGTCTCCAACTTCAGCCTCTTCCAGATTGAAAAGCTTCTGAACAAGCCTGAGCTGAAATATAAACCAGTGACAAACCAGCTGGAATATCACCCATACTCACCCAGGAGAAGCTGATCCAGTACTGCCACTCCAAGAACATCATTGTCACTGACTACAGCCACCTGGGTTCTCCAGACAGACTTTGGGCCAAGCCAGAGGACCCTTCATTACCAGAGGATCCCGAGATTAATGAGATTGCTTCAAAGCACAAAAAACTACAGCCCAGGTTCTGATCCGATTCCATATCCAGAGGAGTGTGGCAGTGATCCCCAAGTCTGTGACATCAATTCGCACATCTGATAAGATGAACTATGTAGATGGGATTGGAGAGTGGGCTCAAGTGATGAGAATGTATCAGATTGTTTAGTATTATTTCTTCCTCTCGATCTGGTACACTACAGGCCAAATATCTTTCTTTCTCTTTCTACTTCATCTGGTAGAATTTCCCATCTGTTAGATATTATAAAATGTGTTCAGATCAACAGAACCATTTCTAGGGTATGCACATGAACTGCTTGCACACATTAGAGTATTAATTTTAAATTTTAATGCATCTTTGTTCCTATTTATGCTCATATATATGGTATTTGAAGCTTAGAATTCTGAGTCTTTATCATATATGTTATATCAGCCATTTTCCATAAAAGAAATTTTAAACATATGTCATATAGCTTTCCTTAACTGATATTCTTTGAATATAAGAATATTAATAAGACAAGCCTTTTTAGGATTTTGCTTGAAGTAATCAAAACAGTCCAGGCATGGTGCCACATGCCTGTAGCCCCAGCTATTTGGGAGGCTGAGGCAAGAAGCTCCCTTGAGCATAGTAGTTCAAGGCCAGCCAGAGCATCATAAACAGACTGTCTCCTGGGAGAAGAAACAAATTAATCAGAATAATGTGGCTCTCAGTGCTACTACAAAATGTACATCTAGAGCATAAAATGTAACCTGAATGTCCTCAAAATATTAAAATTTAATACTTTACATTTAATGTAGCTACTTTATAAAAATGATTGTAACATTGCAGAATATCATTGTGTGGCTTTGCTTAGTTTTACTATAAATATGTAGAATTTCTTTATAGGCCATAATATCATTGTCATTGTGGCTGGAGCAAATTTACTTTTGAACACTGAAGACCTGAAGGAAGCAGCTCGTGTCATTAGCAGAGCCAAAGTAATGATCTGCCAGCTAGAAATAACTCCGGCAACTTCTTTGGAAGCCCTGACAATGGCCCACAATAGTGGAGGTAACTTTACATATTTGTCACTATCTGTAAAAGCTTTTATCACTGTCTTAATTAAAGTTAACCTTTTAAGTTAAGCAAAGCAATACTTTTTTTGTAGTAAAATATTCTTTCCTCCATCTGTGAGATTCACTGTCTTGTAGTTCTTGATAATGTTAGAAAAGCTTACAAATAGAATAAAAATAACATGAGTAGGATATCTGATACCCCTCAATGTAAATCTGCAGTTGAGCTAGCAGGAATGATAGAAGTAATTAAGAGTCTGTGCAGCAGCCCATTATCTAAGAGGCAGTGAGATGTTTTCTGCTGTGAGAAGCAAAGGTCATGTCCAATCACTGCCCAGGTATGTGTCAATAAACATCTCTAGGAGTCAACAATTTGTTCTTTCTTCTTATAAAACTTTATCATTTCAGTAAATAAATATTACCTACGTTACTTTCTGTGTTATCAATATATATTAAACAACTCTTCTATTTGACTTTTGATTTCAAAAATTTCCAAACCTACTAAAGTGGGCAGAGCTGTGCCACTAAAGCATTACCCAACAGTCATCCACCCAAGGCTTATCTTAATTCTGCTGCTCTCCCACCCATTCTCCTCCTCTTGTTGTTCGGGTCTAGGGATTGAGCCCAGGGCCTTGCACAGAGTCACGTTCCCAGACCTGGTTTTCTACAGTGTCACTAAATTACTCAAGCCGAGCTCAAACTTCCCTCCTTCCTGCCTCAGCCTCCCAAGTAGTTGGGGTTACAGAAATATGCCCCCATGCTCGGCTCAGATAAAAAGATATTTTTTAAAGTAGGCTTTTTCAGGGGTGGAGGGGTTGGTCTTTTTTTTTTGTTTGTTTTGTTTTTTTGTTTTTGTTTTTGTCTCCTCTGCCTAGTGGCAAAAGCATCTCCTGGATTAGAATTCCATCTCTATCTCTTGTTAGCTTTGGGGTCTTAGAATCGGCTGCTTTTTCTGAACCTCTCTATAAAATACGTGTAGAAATATGCCCTATAGAATTGTTCTGGCGATACAATGAATTAAATGTGATGCCAAGCATATTACAGCACGTACCAGTAAGTCTCACTTTTTATTTCCTGTACATTTTGTTCTTTAAATTGAAATTAGGATAATATCCCAGGAAGATAGCTCAACAGTATAAGCACCTGCCTGGAAAGGTCCCAAGTTTGATCCCCAGTACCGGGAAAAAACAAGAAAAAAAAATTGGAATAGTATCCTAATCCTAGCACCATCTGGTCAAAGAAACCAAAATAAAAAGTAGCCACTCCAAGGCAGTGGCTTTTCCTTAATAGGCTAGCAGTAGTCCTGTGATGTATAGTAAGTAAGTAAATACAGAGAGAACCACATTGACTTTTCCAGATAAAACTTTCACAGTGACATACAAAATTAAAAAAAAAAAAAAATAGAACAGAGGATGCATGCAGGATGCGTGTGTGCATATGTGTGTGTGCATGTGTGTGTGTGTGTGTGTGTGTGTGTTTATGTGATTTCTCACAAAGCATATAGTGTACTATATACCAATAAATAGAAAATAAGTCACTGAAGTGATTTCTGTGGAGAATTTTAAAGTGTGTGTCCTGATTTAACAAATTTTCCTCTTGGCAAAATATGCCATGGCAAATTCTCACTGACATTTACTGTATTTTTAATGGACTCAAAGCTGTCAAAGAATTCTAAGCCAAAACCCATTTGGTTGCATGTTCTCAAAGTGTCACGGATAGAATCTACTGCTTATGGTAAGCGTTCTCTGCACTGCACTCATCTCAGCTGGGGGTGTGAATACAGTGTTCCCCTCCCCACTTCACTCTTGCTACTGCCTCCCTGTGTGTAGATGAAATCACTTTCTTATATAACTTTTCTTTCTTTCCCACTATCCCTTGCTTCTCAGAGGTCACTTTTTTCTCTGTCGTAGTCTAGTTACCTGTACCTGTCCAGCTTGTGGGCGAGAGGAAGGTACATCCACAACAGCTGAAGAGCCAGCCTTTCACAGGTGAGGGAGAGAAATCCTGATGAGCAAGCCACCTGACTGTGAGCTGGCATCTGGATGAGGCCCAGCTGTCATTTGAGTGGGCTCTAGAGATGCTTCCTCTGGCAGCTACCAAGCAGCTCCTACATTTGAGGAGCAGGAGGTCCTAGGGCACAAGAGGAGGGGTAGGTGATGATGGGCCTCAGCCTGCCTAGTGTATTTGACTGGCCAGGATACCTAAATATTCATGGTGCAAAATCTATCCAGTGGTCCCCTCTGGAGGTTGGGGGATACATTCCAGACACCCATTAGATGACTGAAACTTTGGATAGTACCTAACTCTAATACATCTTAACTACACATTTATCATATACAGTGGCCATCACGTTTGCAGTTTAAAGTACAACAGATAAATTAGCCCTGATATCTTTTTTATTCTTTACAATTTTGTGAATAGAAAGCCAGTTCTTTCCAGGCATAATGGTGTACTCTTACCATGTAATCTCAGCTACTTCAGAGGCTGAAGTAGGAAGATTAAGTTTGAGGCCACACTGGGCAACTTAGTGAGACCCTGCCTCAAGATAATAAAAAACTGAAAGGGTTGGGAGTGCAGTTCAGTATATAGGTTCCAACCCCAGTATCAAAGGGTAGGGGATTCATCCTTATTGTAGATCTTAGCAACTTCACCTTACATATTTCTTTTTCTTATCTAAGTCAAGAACTTTTGCCTTTTCACTTGAAAAGAAGCACTTTATGGCTTCTCTTTGGCACATCTGAGTTGCCAGCTTCACTGTTGTTGCACTTTGGGGTCATTACTCAGTAAAATAAAGGTTATTTGAGCACAAGCCCCACTGTACCACAGCAGTTGAGCTAATGACCCAGATGGCTATCAGTGCAGGAGGGCTGGACAGGGTAAGTCGTGTCCCAACTGCAATGGAGTAGGATGGCATGAGATTTCATCACATGACTCAGAATGGTATACAACTTAAAATTTATGAATTATTATTTCTAGAATTGTACTTAATATTTTCAAACCCTGGTTCACACTGAAACTATAGAAAAAACAGAACCACAGATAGGAGAAAAGACTACTGTATGCTATGGGAAGTATTAATACCTTGCATTTGTATGTACTTTTAGCTTATAATGTTTTTCTTTATACTCTTAATCCTCAGAAAAGCCTTATGACAAAAAAATGGCAAGCATTATTCTTTCAGATTGAAGATGAGGAGGCCAACTGTTTAATTCACTCAACCAACATCACACTTGTAGTAAGTGGGGAAAACAGTTGTAGACTCTAAGATCCAAGTCTGTCTCCAGGATCACACTTTAAAAGCAAAGCCCCCTTGGGCTTGGGGAGATAACTCAGCAGTCTAAATACCTGCCTGGCAAGCACAAGGACCCAGGTTCAATCCCTGGTACCACATGCCATGCTAGCCACTGAACCCAGACATGGTGGTGCACACCTGTAATCCCAGCATTGGGGAGGCTGAGACAGGACAATCACTATGAGTCCCAACTGCATAGCAAGACCCTGTACCAAATAAATAAAAGATTAAAAAATAAATAAAATCAAAGCCTCACATGCTGTTAATTTCAGGGAACTGTGCTTTTGGAAGAGTATCTCTGGAAAACTAAAATTCATATCTTTTAACTGTCTAGTGTATGGCCTACAGTTTCAGTATCTTTGCTGCCTAACAAACAGAGAAGCCAGATGTGGTGGCACAGGCCTATAATGGGAGAACTTGGGAGGCTGAGGCAGAGAGCTTGCCCAAAGTTTGAGGCCAGCCTGGACTACATAATGTCTCAAAAAATCAAAAAAAAAGGAAACAGAAACAGAGAAGAAGCCTTAGAGTATTTTCAGCAGTTTATCTCTATACACTCCACTACAGATACATAATGCATACACCAGCACACATGACACCCCTCTATCTGTTTTTTTAAATAATCACAAAAGCAGACTTTTTTGTATTTTAATAATTTTATTGAGAAAGAAGTAGCAATGAGATAGTTTCAAAACAGGTTAGTAGTACAGTTACAATAATTAATACATTGCATATTGTTGCCTTTGTAGTAGTTATTCCTTGTACAAGATGCAGACATATCTTGTCTAAACACAGACATATCTAAACACTGTTAGTTCAAAACCTTCTCATTAATGAAGTACAGAAGTTATATCTTCAACCCCAATAAATTTGTGAACCTGGTCAAGTTAAAAAAAAAAAAAACCTTCTCATTGAACTAAGAGAACATAGCTGTATATTTATGCTATTTTGTATATACAGATACATATTTTTTTCACTACAAAATGGCCCATTTATATCCCCTTTTTTGTTTACTTTTGTCTTCAGCAGGTTTTTTTGTTCGTTTGTTTGTTTTGAAACATACCTCTTTCTGAAAATCATCCAGCAGGCAGCATGCTCTGGCCAAGTCAGCTCTCCCCTATTTGGTGGACTCTAGCAATTGCAAGTGCAGTTTAGGGGTGTGTGTGTGTGTGTGTGTGTGTGTGTGTGTGTGTGTGATGCATCTTCATTCCCAAAGAAGAGGAAAGTGGCTTAATGAAAGGAGAGTACTAGGTTGGGAATCCTGAAGAATATCCTCAAATCCACAACCAATCACTTAGAAAATAAGGACTCTCACTCAGAAGATTGCTTTGGACCTTCCTCTCTTCTTCTAAGCAAGAGACTCTGACTGAGAGATCTCCTAGCTTATTAATGTCACCATGGACTGATCACAAAGCATGGCAGGCAAAGCTCACATCTGTCAAGCACCACGTCTTGCCCATTACCCCTTGAGGGACGTATGTGCTACTCAGCATTATTCCATCTTCAAGAGAGATGACAAAGTCACCACTGGCGTCTGAGTTTATGGTCACAGCCCTGTTACCCGTTAACAGGTATCAAAATTTGAATTATACACATCTCAAAATTCTTTCTTCCTGTCTTCACCAAGATTAAAACTAGTTTTGGAGCTGGGAAGATAGCTCAGAGGTTTTAGAGCCTGCCTGACAAGCACAAGGTCCTGAGTTCAATCCCCAAAATAAATTAATTTAAAAAAATAAAACATTAGTTTTCCTTATTTATTTTTGCCCCACACTCACCCCCCAGAAAAGCACATTTTATTTTAGAGATAGCACCCACAACTTTAAAAAAAACTTGGTCACCCTGTATCGCCCCATCCTTGCCAGGAGCTCCAGCTGTGGCTGCTGGTGATGAAACTGTACATGTTGGTTCTGGCCTTTATATCCATTTCAAAGCAAGTGGAACATTACAGGAGCAATTATAAATAATTGACATTGTGAGATAGCCAAGATTAAATCGTAGGTATGATACAAAATATCTTTTAATGCCACTTTAGTTCCTCTCCATTTGGCAAGCAAAACTTTTTGGCTGGCCACCTAGAGTTTGACTGTAACATTATCCAGCCCATGACCCACAAGCTTGGCCACACTGTGCTGCTGAAGTCACAGAAAACAGCCTCCAGGGCAAGTCAGCCAAGCCAGTGCTTTGGGTGCCCAGGCTCCTCACACCTTCTCAGCTCAGGGTGCCTTTCTTCCTCTTTCTCTGAACTAGTTCTTAAGAGCTTTGTAACTCCTCAGCCCCTGCGTTCCACGTGAGCATAGAGAGAACTTCCACTTCACTTCCCTGTACTTGAGGCCGTCCAGCTGCTACCCCAGGCCTCACTAGCTCTGCACCAACATTACCTCATCAGACACTGACACGTGGTAAAGATAAGCAGGCATTCAGTCCATCTCACACGGTAATGAGTAACAATTACGAGGGGGAGGGGGCGCTGCCAGTCACCTCTATAGGCCATGTCACATGGTTCCTTCCTTTTGCCTGGTCCCAGGGTAACATTATCTTTTCCATCCTGTCAACTATAAATGTGTTCTTCTAACTCCATCTACTAGTTCTTTATGCCTCCCCATGGTAAAGTATTTCTGCTTAGTTGTAGTAGCATGAGCCAAGGTGGGTGTCTCCTTTAAGGCATTTTTCTTTTCCTCTAAATTTTGTTAATCTAAACTTAAGTATCAGACTGTAAACCCACATTGTCACTTATTGTTGGTAAGAATTCTATCTCAGGCACATAAGATTTGATTAATTTCTACAATATTTGAGGTAAAATGTGCTATTATTGAAAATGTCAGATACATAATGCTGCACAGAGAATAGCATGGTAAGCCCATATATACTGTCGTTTAGTTTCAGCAGTGATCCAGACGTGGCTAGTGTTTTGGTTTTTTTTTTTTTTCTGTACCCCAGCTCATGATGACCTGCCCTCCACTACAAAACCTACAGATTACATCATTCCATTTATAATGTGCCTGCTTTTTGGTTTTGGTTGTTTGTTTGTTTGTTTTCTGTATTTAGGACAGGGCCAAAGGATCTCACTACATAGATCAGACTCGTAGTGATTCTCCTGTTTTCACCCTCCCAAGTGCTGGGATTATAGGCGCACACCACCACGCCCAATCTCAATCGCCAGCTCGAACCCCAGCCGCTGCACTCTGCCTAAGCAGGCACTTTAGTCTGCTGAGGTATCAGACCAGCCCTGGTTGTTGAGACAGGGTTTTTGCTACATAGAACAGGCTGGCCTCAAATTGGTAGTTCTTCTGCCTCAGCCTCCTGAGTGCTAGACTTACAAGTGTATGCCAATTTTTCATGGAAGTTACTCTATATGTTTAAACAATGATGTCTTTGCATGATTTACAGCAGTTAATTCATGATCAGATTTTTCCCCATCACCTTTTACTGCCTTTTTCATGTCTAATAAATTCAGAAATCTTCCTTTGACAAAACAGAGACCTACTTCATCCTTCTAAGCAATTGCATAATTATTTCAGGTGCATATTATAACTATCTTAACCACTCCCTTTTGGTAGATATGTAGATTTCTTATTTTTTTCTATCATAACCACATGGACATCATTGTATGACATATTTGCAAACCTGTGAATTTCCATAGGATAGGTTTGGAAAAGGTATTGCTAGATCAGAGATCCCTTGAGAACAAAAGGAGCTTCTCTATGAATGACTCTTCCCTCCTGTCTGTATTGGTAGCTGTTGTAGGCAGTGCTCTAACACTGGTAAGTGTGGACTTGAGAACCCAATGGCTGAGCAAGAGTGTTTAGATTTAAGGTTTGAGGAAAGTAGGAAATAATATATTGCTAAGAAAACCTCAGAAGTAAGAGGGAATGTTAGAACACTGGGCAGTGTGGATGTTTGTTCATTACTGACAACACCAAGGCCTTGCGGAAGTGGGGAAACCAGTGAGATTGCCACAGTCTACACACTACAGCAAAGGCAGAAGAGATGGGTGGACATGCGGGAGTGTTGGGCTGTGTGCAAGGGACATTATAATAACAGTAATAAGCCTCTACTTGTGTATAACACTTTACAGTTTACATAGTGCTTTTATGTCCATTTTCTAATTTAAGCTGCACAATAGTCCTGTACAAAAATCTGAGCAGCCAAAAATATACCATAGAATTTTTGTGGGTGGACATTGTGTATTCTGAAATAATAAAAATGTGGGAGTAGTGTTAGCCATACTGAACAAGACCACTGACTGAACCAAAACATTAAGGAAGACCTAGAATGGTACAGAAATAGACTAGACGGCTCACCAAGCTGCAGGGGTAGGCTGTCTGCATCAGCATGTGCTGATGAGCTTCTCCTCGGGAGTGTGGAATGGATCACTGCCAAGCTGTGTAAGAGCCACCTGGAGAACTTGGGAATGTGCAGATTCCTATCTCCCCAGAGATTCTACTTCAGTGGATCTTAGGTGAAGTCTGAAAATCATGCATTTGAACAGTGTTGCTGATGTGTGACTGTTTGTGAGCCACTGTTCTAGAAGAGTCTCTGAGGATGGGAGCTAGTGGATTTTATTGTATGGCTCTGTAGTCAGGTGGAACTCCCTAACAGGTCAGTCAGTGGACCCCAGATGATAAAAACACTAGCCATTCTAGTTGAGTGCTCTGCTGAGTACATGTTGTGACAAAGAGTGATCCTCCTGCAAGTGTACTTGCTAATATCAGTAGAATAATTCAGAATTCAGTGGCAAAAGCTGTTTTAAAAGATACTGTGAATTTCAGGATTAAGGGCATGGATTATTATTGACAGAGTCCTGGCAGAGAGAAATGCTCTTCTGTTTCAGAGAAGGTCCAACCCTGAATTTAAAACCAGGAAGGTTGGGGAGATAGCTCAGTAGAATAAGTGCTTGCCTGGCAAGTGTAGGGTCCTGAGTTCAATCCCTGGTACCACAAAAATAAATAAATAAATAAATAAATAAATAAATAAATAAAACCAGGAGACCTTGGGTTTCAGCCTAACCACATCCCAGGGAAGGACTTTTTGAAAGTCATATTCCTTTCAAAATATGTCTTCACCTCTCTGAGCTTCACTCTTCTCCAAAAAATTCACTTTTCTGTCATGGAGTGGCCGTGACATTCTCCTTCCCCTACTTCTATTATCCCTGCTCCTCCTCGCGTAGCCTCATAGTCAAAGTCTCTCCTTGCTCAGATTTTCGCAATTCTTTGTTTTAAGTTTCTAGACTGCTCACAAAAACCAAGAATATGAGCCTTTGTGTGTGCGTGTATGTATGTGTTGGCATGCATAATTGTGATGTAATTGGGAGGCATAGGAGCACACTATAGATACATGTATGTGAGTTTCCTACATACTGTTTTTACCAGGGCAGTTTTGAACTCTTTGTTGTTCATTTTCTGTCATTTCTTTCTTCTTCCTTGGAAAATGGATTTATGAACTGGCCTTGCAAGGAAGCACTTAAAGCAACCCACAGAAATATTGAGTAGCCTGTTCATATTTGTAAAAGTCCTCTCGTACCACAGCATTTTTCCTTTAAAGTTCTTCTTGCCCCTGACTTAGCTCTGGAATCACCTTGGTTGTAAATATTGGTGCTTACCTTCAAAGCTGAAACACTAACATTTCACTGCTAGCATGAAAAATCGAGGAAACACAAATAAGAAGGAAATGGTACTATGACTTTCTGTCATAGTGGTTGAGAGTTCAGATTTTTCTAATCTGTCACTGAGTGGATCTTTAAGTTGATGAGTAGTTGAGGATTTAGCTCAGTGGTGCAATGCTTGCCTGGCAAGCATTAGGCCCTGAATTTGATTTCTGGTACCCAATAAATGAATAAATAAATAAATAAAAATCTAAGTGCAAAAATTATTTAACTCAGGAATTTGTCCCATGAAATGATTATGAATGCGCTGTGTTAAACAAGATAACGATTGAACCCCTTTCCCTTTTCTTTAAAGTGAAAACATTGTTCAATCCAGCCCCTGCCATTGCTGACCTGGATCCCCAGTTCTATGCTCTCTCAAATGTCTTCTGCTGCAATGAAAGTGAGGTAAGGATGAATTGCCTTGCTCCTTCTGTGACCAACTGAAAGGCTTTCACACAATTGGATAAAGAAAAAAAGGAAGGATTAACCTCATCAATTTGGTCACAAGAAAATTCTTAAGTTAAAAACTGATCTTTTTCAGTTTACTGGGGTGTAGAAAAAAGAAAATGAGTAAACCTTAGGGCTACAGGAAAGCATTCACTGAGCTATCTCTGTGATGTGGCACTTTCCAACCTCAATTTTAGCCCCTTCCTTACCCCCACATTGTTATTTTCTTCTCCTTTCTAGTTATTCAATATTCTGTAGTCTACTTAGTATTAGTATTGCCAAGTTTAGCAAATAAATATGCACGATGCCCAATGAAATTTGAATTTCAGATAGTCAATGAATAATTTACTAGATATGCTTAAATATTGAAGAATTATTTGTTGTTTTCTGAAATTCAGATTTAACTGAGCCTCTGATCTTTCATCTGGAAGCTGTTAGATCAGCCTTACTGATTATACAGTGCGGAATGTCTGTTACCTTCTATTATTTGGGCACCATCACATCATTAGTAGACAGTCCCAGGTTCTCCATTGGTAACACAGAAAAGGCCTTAAAGGCCTCTGTATCAAGGGAGCAAGTATGAGGCTCATAATGTATGCATCTGGACAAGATATCAACTATTCTTTCCTAAGAGTTTTAGGAAGAAAATTTCAACATTTCTCCCACTTTATAGGCTAGATAGCATTAGATCAGAACTCTCTTTCATTGTCAGTATATGAATACATATCAGCAAAGGCAACACACAGAGAAATAGTAATTAATGAACTATTAATTTGCCACTTGGTTTGAAGGATGGATGACAGTTTCTAGAATTTTCTTGACCAGTTTCTTGGTAGAACATACAGGACCCAAGAAGGAAGACTGATATATGGAAACTAAATTTAACAAACCACAATAGGTTATGTAATATTTTTGAGCAATCACTGTGTCCAGGCATTGTGCTAGAAAAAGGAATTGTGGAAGATAGTGACCATTACACAATAAGGACTTAAATTATTTTCAACTGACAAACTGGCTCAGATTTCCTAGCTAGATATTTAAAAAGCAGTCTATTTAGTCTTCAACCTTGGGCCAGGGAGATGGCTTAGTAGAATAAGCGCTTGCCTGGCAAGCGCAAGGGCCTGAGTTCAATCCCCATTTCAAAAAAAAAAAAAAAATTCAAACATTCATCACAGCCTAAATTATATATTCAGTTCTATCTTATCCATTAAATACAAGCTCCATAAGGTTAGGACATCTATCTTACTATTGCAGCTATCCCCATGTATATAGCTTTCTTTGTGCATAATAGGTTACCACAAGTATAACAGTACTAGTTATTGTTTTCAGTTTCTGTCCATCAGGAATTGGGACAATATGTCTTGTGTATCTGCTCCACAGTGCCTCGATTTTCAGCTGGAAGACTTAATGCTGAGGGAGGAAATTATCCAACATCTTTTTCATCATGTGCTTGAGAGGAGGTGCTGGCTGTTGACTGGGGCATAGTGGAATGATAGACCACAACACTTACACATGGTCTCTTCATGTGGCCTGGGACTCGTCACAATAAGGGAGCCAGGTTCCAAGATCCACCATGAGGGAGAAGAGCCCTAGGCAGAAACTATGTTGGCTTTTATCATTTTGCATTAGAGGCCACAACACAGCATCACTTCCACCCCATTCTGTTGGTTGAAGGAAGAAGGTCCAGCCTGGTACCCTACCACTTCACAGAACATTATATTGTCACAGTGTATTGGGTTTTGCCATCCTTGTGACACCATTCCCAATACAACTTAAAGAAAAAGAGGTTTCATTTAGCACATGGTTCAGAGGATTCACTCTGCGGTTGCTGGGCTCTAAGGCAGGAACATTATGGCACAAGGGTGTAACAGAGCACAGATGCTTAATTAACAGCAGCCAGGAAACAAAGGGAAGGGCGGAGCCAAAGACAAGAACCTCCTCTTCCTGTCACACCTACAGTGACTCACCTCCAGCCACACCCCTCCTCCTAGTAGCACATTCAGCAGTGAAAGCATTGGTGGCTTCATTCACTGATGAGTATGGCGCCCATACCCCAGCCACCTTCCAAGACCACACCTCTGAACACATGAGATAAAAAACAACACACAGTGTAAACTAGCATTTATAATGATGTATATTAATACAGTTATCTTTGAAAAATGACATCTGCCACACATTCCAGCACATAGTTGATACATAGTAAATGTTTATTAAATGAATGAACTCTGGTCTCTAAGGAAGTAGGTCTCAAATATTTTTTAAAAATAACTGAACATTTTAATGTCCTTATGGGTAAATTCAAATAATTTATGCTAATAATGTAAATTCATACTTAAGATACTCTGAGCCAGTGTGGTGGTACACAGCTATAATCTCAGCTGCTAAAGAGGTTGAGTAAAGAGGATTCCAAGTTTCAAGACCAACCTGCGAGGGCCAGCCAAATAGTTCAGCAGATTAAAGTGCCTGCTTAGGCAGATGCAGGGACCTAGAGTTTGATCTCCAGGACTGCCCTGTCAGCCCTGCCCCCAGGGCACACTGAGACTGTGATTGAGACGGTGTGGTGGCGCATGCCTGTGATCCCAGCACTTGGGAGGCTGTGGACAGGAGGATCACTACGAGTCCAATCTACGTAGTCAGACCCTGTAGATCCTCTAGACCCTGTCCTAAAATACAAAAAAAAAAAAAAAAACCTGCAATTTACTGAGACCTAAAGTCTAAAATTTTAAAAAATTGGGGAATGGGGGCCTGGCTGGAGATGTAGCTCCAGGTTTAATCTTTAGTACCACACACACACACGCATACCCAAAAAAAACCTGATATATAAAGTATAAAGAGAAACAGTGAAAAGATAAAAAGTTCAAAAATAGGATGTAACTCCAAGATCAAAAGTATACCTGTTAAGCCAAGCATGACAGTTTGCACCTGTAATCCTAGCAGTCAGGAGGCTAAAACAAAAAGATCACTGTGAGTTCAGGGTCAGCTTGGGCTACATAGTGAGTTGAAGACCAGCCTGAACTGCATAGCAAGAACCTGTTTGAAACTGTATGCACATGAAAAAGTGTAAAGGTTTCATGGAGCATTCCAGCATTGAATGTGCTATACACCTGGCCCAGAAGTAAGCAGAGGTGGTAGGAAGCTCACATCCTGTGGGTAACTGGCACTAAAAGTGGGCCGCTCGTTGGGAGGGCAGCAGTGCCCATGACTAGAAAACATGTGCTAATAACAGAAGCTGAAAGAGCTTGCTACCCCCCCCCCACCAGAAACTCGCAACTTATAGAGGGACAGAGACACTGTGTCTTACCAGGAAGGAAACCAAGCCAAACACTGGCTTAGTATGTTGGCAGGGTCCCAAGTAAGGGCAGAGCAGGAACTCTACCTGGCAAGTATGACACCTGTCTCCAGGTTAGAGACCCTCGGCGTCCTAGTAAATAGAGCTCTGAAGCCACAAAGTCAGGGAAGGCCAGGTGGAGATGAAGTGTGCACAGCTCACAGCCAGCACAGCGAGCCAGTAGACCAAGCAGCAGCACGGCGATGGGGAACTTAGCCAGCAGTCAGTCTAGGTGAATGTGACCAAGAGGAAGCTTGTAACAATAAAATGAAACAATGCAAAAAAGACTTTCAGGGGCCAGGGAGATGGTTCAGTAGAATAAGCGCTTGCCTGGCAAGCACAAGGGCCTGAGTTCAATCCCCGGTTCCACCAAAAAAAAAAGACTTTCACATAAGTATGATTAATATTCATTTTAAAGGAAGAAACTGTGAAAGAAAAACAAAGCAACAGTGTATGAAAAACATCCCAATAGAAGACATTGAAAATGAAAATTATTGAAATTTTTTTAATCATTGACTAGAAAAATAAACATTGTATTAGAATAAAGAAGTAGTACACTGGGCCAGCCAGCTAGCTCATCGGATTAAAGTGCCTGCTTAGGCAGATGCAGGGACCGGGGTACAATCCTCTGCACCACAAACCATGCTGGCCTCACCTCCCCTTCCCCCCCCCCGGGGGGGGGCACACTGGGATTGTGATTGAGACTGGGCTTGGTGACACATGCCTGTAATCCCAGCACCTGGGAAGCTGAAAACAGGAGAATCACTACGAGCAGATCTGTGTAATGAGACCCTGTGGACCCTGTACTAAATACATTAAAAAACAAAAACAAAAAAAAGATTACTAAAACTCAGGACAAATTGGTAACTATTGAATCCTATAATAATTAAAGACATTTAAAAAAAAATGCTTTTTTTTTTTTTTTGGCTCCAAATGCCTTCAGGGCAGGTTTGGCTGGCTTGAGTTGTGGGGATTGAACCACAGCAACCTGAGCCTGACTGCTTTGTTGAAGCAGCCACTTAAAGAACTAAGCTAAGGGGCAGGCCCCCTTAAAAAAAAAAAGTGGTACACTAAAAGAGACTCTTGATCCATTCACCTACAGGGAGTAGGAAGTCACAGAGAAAACAGGGCAAAAAGAAAAATATTTTTGAAGTACAAAGGACAGTACATTTAATAGAGTGAAAGATAAAGAGAATGGAAAGAGAGGAAAGTAATCCATAATATTAAAGGGAAAACTGCAAGATGTTTGCTAGAATTAAGAAAGGACATGAAAAGTATATAGGGCAGTTTTGCAATTTACATGTGCTCTTTGGCAGGCAAAAGGCAGCAAGCAACAAGTGACAGCCCTCCTTCTGTCCCTTATATTTTGTCCAGCGTACACACCTTTAAGGTGGGTAGCTCACACCCAGGTGGGGCACCCTTGATCCTCCCTAGAACTATCATTTAGTAGCCACATACCCTTGATCCCACATCACACACTGTAGAGCCAGCCACCCTTGGAGAAAACCCACCTATGACCATATGAGGCTTCACGGGACTTGTAGGTGCAGACCATCATCACACATACCGTACACACTTGAGTGTGTGCCTCCAGAGAGGAAGCGCAGTGCCCTTATCACACTTAGGAAATACCAGTCCTTTTATACTGTCATATGAGATATGCAGGCTGTGTTCAAACTTACCTATCTGTTCCAAGAACGTCTTTTATAACTAGATCTGGTTGTTATTTTTAATTTTCCTACACCAGTACAGTATTAATCAAAGTTTCTGTCACACTGGTTGTTATTTTAAAAAAAAAAAAGGAAATACATTTTCTAGAAAAACAACTCTGACAGTAGATTCTGTTTAATTGTTTTCACCAATTTCCTTTTTCTTTGTGTATTCCAGGCAGAGATTTTAACAAGTCTTGCAGTGAGCAACCCGGCAGAAGCTGGGAAGGCTGCCCTGGTGCTCCTGGCAAGGGGCTGCCAGGTTGTAATCATCACCTTGGGGGCCGAAGGATGCGTGATGGTGTCACAGACAGAGCCTGTTCCAAAGCATATTCCCACAGAGAAAGTTAAGGCTGTGGATACCACGGTAGGCTTTACACTTTAAGTCATTTTTGGCCCTTCATAATCTTTGTTTAATGACTAAATACTTTGCCTGAGTTTTGCATAATGAGATAAAACCTAGGAAATGACATGGTAGAAAAGAACTTTTTTTTGAGACAGTGTCTTGCTATATAGTTCAGGCTGTCCCTGAATTCACTATGTAGCCCAGGCTGGCCTCGAACTTGCAGCAATCCTTTTGCCTCTGCCTCCCAAGTGCTTGGATTACAGGGATGCACTACCACACCCAGCTGAAAAGAACAATCAGCAAGAGCGCTATTTTTAATCATCTTAAATAGCCATGTGCCGCTCTGCCTTGGATCCAACTGAGTGTGGACTGAAACCTCCACTAACTGTGAGCTAAATAAACCTTTCCTTCCTTCATTTTCAGTGTCAGGTATTTGTCCCAGCATTGAGAGAAGCGTAACTGAGGCAATAGCCATAATAAAAAATTAAAAACAAGTATTATCTATGATATGAAGAGATTGGAACTCTTTACACTGTCAAGAGAAATGTAAGATATTCAATCACTATCTAAAAGTGCCTCAAAAAGTTAAATATAGGACCCAATAATTGTACTTATAAGCACGTGCCCAAAAGAAATGAAAATATGTCTACACAAAACTTGTGCACAAATGTTTGTGGCCACATTATTCAAAATAGCAAAAAATTGGAAACAACACAGTGTTTACCAGCAGATGGATAAATCATGGTATACCTGTAACTGTACAATAGAATATTATACAGCCATTAAGAGGAATGTTAACGCATGCCATGTCATGAATAAACCTTCAGAGCATTATACTAAGTAAAAAAAAAAAAAAAGCCAAATCTGAAAAGATCACATATGATTCCATTTATATGAACTATCCAGAATAGATGAATCCATAGACACAGAACATAGATTGGTGCTTGCCAAGGGCTCAGGGAGGAGGAAGGCGGAGAGGTAAGGAGTTTTGCTTCAGAGAGCAGGAATTTTGCTTTAGAGTGATAGATGTTTTATAGAAACTGTACAACATTGTGAGTCTGTAGAGCGAATGAAACCATGTTATACACCTCAGCAGCGTATAGCTTCCTTGTAAAGGAATGAACTACTTATTCATGCTATGACATGATGAACCTTGAAAACATACTGAATTTAAAACAAAACAGGCATAAAAGCCAATGTATTTTATGCTCCCTTCTATGAAACATGCAGGAAAGACAAATGCAATAAGTTAATTATATCACATTCTAAAAAAAAAAAACCATCTCAAACAACCACCAGAAGTTTTTCCATTGAACTACTGTGTCTACCAAGCAGGCTGTCAGCATCCCCCGTAGAGTGGAGGTCAAACTGACAAGAAAAAGCAAGGTAGCTATTTTCTGGCTCTCCAGTCGGCCTCACTTGTTAACACTTCCTTTGTCCTCTCATCCTGCACTCTCATTACTAAAATTCTTGCCTGCTCATAAGTGTAGTAAGAGGAGCTAATCACATGCCAGCAGGAGGGACTCCAGGGAGGCACTTCCTGCCGAGCACACAGGCTTCTTCACGTGTGTCAGGAGGACGTTACCTGCTCTTCTCGCTCATCTCCTCCTCCCAGTCCCTTATTCATACACCAGGGGCGACCTGGTGAAGGAAACCTCACTAGTTAGATGCCACGTTGTCCCCTGGAGACGGGCAGCCTCCCTTAGAGGAGGCCGGCTCCCATCCTGTGTCGCTACTGCTGCCGCCTGCTCTGTTCCGTTTGCTCACTGTTAATAGTTGCATATATCACTTCTATTTTTACATCTGCTTTTCCCGTTGAGCTACAGTGAGATGGTGGCAAGAGCTACAGATGTCCTCGGCTCGGTTTGGAAGACATGACAGATGTAGCTCTTTCCCCATTTCTATACATTATCTGAATCTCAGCCTCAGAGTGACAGGAACCTCATGTCCTCACACTGTACTTTCTAACTAGAGGGCTAGGGTAGTGGTAGCAAACCTATGGCTTGCGTTTTATTGTTTTTCTTTTAAGACAAAAGATGGTGTATAAGTTGGTTTTTTTCTAAACTAAGACCTTGGTATTCAGGTTTAATTGCATTGTTGTCACTTTATGATAAATAAGTGGGGTTTAGTTTCTAAAAGGTTCACCATTACTGGGTTAAGAATTCTATCTGGGAATTAAGATTGCACTGAATTCATATTTTGTGTGCATTCCCATGCACACCGAAACATGATAATGTTTTGTGATTATTGTGGTAGTATGACATAAGGTAATGGTAATTATATTGCCCTATAATTTCTGCAAAACTCCTGATACATAAATTCCTTTCTTTATGTCAGGGATTAAATCCTAGAACAGCCTGTAGATAACTTTGTCTTCTCTAGAATCACTCACTGTGTAATGATGTAACATAATTCAGGAGATCTAAGTCCACTAAGAGTGAACAAAAGCCAGGGTCGAAAAGATTTGTCTTCCTATTCTTTGTTCCTTTTCATCCATTATTTTGAGTCCTGCAGTATTCAGAGTTGCTAATGAGGTCCCAGCCCTCAGGACTACCCAGGGCTCAAGAATTCACTCTAAATTAGAGGTTACAGTAGTAGGAAGTAGCAAAAGCTTCTGTTGACATTGGTAGGGAAACTCTTTATTGGGTTGAGATGATTGCTTGGGATGGCACATTGCCTACAGGTTTACAAGGTGATTTTTTTTTTTAAGACAGGGTCACTCTGTGCAGTTCAGGGTGACCATGAATATACTTTGTAGCCCAGGCTGGCCTTGAACTCACAGCAATCCTGCTGCCTCAGCTTCGCGAGTGCTGGGATTGCAGGTATGCATCACACACCTGGATTCTAAGGCGATTTCTTTTTGGTGTATTCTCCTCATCCTGGGCTGACCTTTAGCCATCCAGGATGCTCTCAAAGATAGGTTCCTGTTGATTGACCTCTTACCATCCAGAACAATGAGTCCGGCTTTGAAAACTTGAGGAGTCATTCTTCCCGCTATAGTATGACCTTTTGTCCACCCTGCCCCTCCATGCCCCTACCACTGGTGAAAAGCAAAACTGATATTGCCACATATAATTAGAACTGCCAATGCAAGTGACCTTAAGAGGTATTTCCCACCCCAGAATATAGAGTGTGGACTCCTGCCTAGCCATCCGGCACTGAGAGGACTGAGCACTCCAGCTTTAACCTGGGCACTGCCATGGTGCTCCCTGTGACTCTCATTCAGCTGCACTTCCCAGCAGATCTCCTTTCTCCTTCCCATCTCCCTATTTCTGATCAATATATACTTTCTTGGTATTTTTTAATAATTTGTAGGGTTTCTGAGAGGTCTAGTTTCAATCTTCTGCTCATGGATACCCACTTCTCCCACGATGGTTTGTTAAAGAAGCAGTATTTTCTCCAATATGTATTTTAGGCCCCTTTTTTTTCAAAACTCACATTGCTATGGGCACAGGGGTCAGTTCTGTGTCTTCTGTTCTATTTCATTGCTCTGTGTATGTTTTTGTACCAATACCATATTGTTTTGGTTACTATAGTTTTGTGCTGTGACTTGAAATCTGATACTGTGATGTTCCCACTTTGCTCTTTTCACTCAGGATTGTTTTGGCTTTTCTGGACACTTCTGGTTCCATACAAATTTTAATTTTTTCTAATTTTGTGAAGAGTACTGTTGGTGGAGGGCCGGGGAGATATCTCAGTAGAATAAGCACTTGGCCTGGCAAACACAGGGTCCTGAGTTCAATCCCTGGTACTGGGGGAA